GACTCATCCATTTCGGACACGTGGCACTCATACAGCGAAGATGACGTGGCCTATGCGAAATTTCTCGGATTTTAAAATAATTTCTCGATTTTCACGCCAAAACTTCTAAAATCCATAACTTTCGCATACGAGCTCCGTTTTTTACGTTCTTTATATGCACGCGTAGGTAAAATTACGCTCTACAACTTTCGTTTAGACTTCGTCGGCTAATTTTGACTTTAATTTTTAAATTATTATTTTTAACAGACCGGGACAGGAAATCCGTTAAAAATTCATAACTTCTTCATCCAAAATCCGTTTTCGTCAGACTTTTTACCGTTGTGCTACTATTTACGAGACCTTCGATTCTCGTTTAGGTCATGTCGGCTAAAAATCACTCGATCTAAAATTCGAGTTTTTAGTTGTCTACTGCTAAGCTGAAACTTCGAAAAATCATAACTTCCTCATACGAAGTCAGATTTGGGCGTTCTTTTTATACCTACTCTCGGTTTAACGAACACTACAAGTTTCGTTTAGATCACTAAGGCTAAAAAGTAGTTTATCAAAAACTCACTTTTTACGACATTCGGCCCCATGCCGGTTTTGTCGCGAAACTTCGACAGGTCATAACTTCTTCGTTATAACTCGGATTTCGGCATTCTTTATATATCTGTAATCCTTGTCACGCCCACTACAAGTTTCTTAATAGATATCGGCTTTATCTAATATTTAATTTTGACGCTCATTTTTATTTTTAATTAATTAAACCCTAATAATTAAGCATAAAACACATAATTCTCATAAAATTCACATAATTCCTTTTCATTTCTTCTAAATGAGTTAGAAAGGTTAACCTAGACCATTATGTCAATATTAATGCCTAGCCTAGAAACACGGGCGTTACAACTCTCTCCCCCTTAGAATGATTTCGTCCCCGGAATCACACATCAGCAAACAAATACGGGTAGCGACTCATCATGTCACTCTCCGTTTCCCAGGTGAGATTTGGCTCATTCATATGTTTCCAATGCACAAGCACTAAATCGACCACTTTGTGTCACAACTTCCTGGTCTTACGGTCAACGATTGCCTCAGGTTCTTTAATCAACCTCTTGTTTTCATCCAACCTTAATTTAGAAATGGGAATTACATTCATTTACACTAGTGATCTACTTCTCTTTTAATCTCTCAGTGTAAAGCAACTTCGTATCGATACCTGTGATACAAATAAACTGAGTGGGTCAGGCTTGGAAGCCTGGTGAGCATATAGGGTTTTCAACCCACAATAAATAATTTATTATGCTTAAACATCAAACAATCAACCCAATTACCCAATCCCCATTGTCTTATTTATTTCTTAAGGATTTACCCTAAGAATCAACTATCACTCATTCCTAAGGATTCATCCTAAGGAATAGGCACAAAGTCCATCGTTGCCCAAGGCTTATACTACAAGCAATAACAACGTCGATCCCCACATACTGATCCTATACAATGATCTTACTAGATCTAGCCTAAAGGATCGATATGAACAACCAACTAACGAAACTGCTTCGGAAATCTCCTAGCAGCAAACAAGGATCGATAAAGATATCGAATGAATGAAATACGTTTAACCACGAACCTTTGTTCGTAAAAGAAAGAACCACAAGACAATTAAGTCAGGGGTAGATATCAATGCCTAGGCTGTGGTCTGAATATCGTGGGGTATGTAGCCCCCAGACGCACCCTATCCAGCATCGAACTTTGCCTAGGCTGTGGTCTGAATATCGTGAGGTATATAACCCCCAGACGCACCCTATCCGGCAATGGAAACGCTGACTAATGCCTAGGCTGTGGTCTGAACCCCCAGACTCACCCCTATCCAGCATTGGAAATGGAAACACTGACTAATGCCTAGGCTGTGGTCTGAACCCCCAGACTCACCCCTATCCAGCATTGGAAATGAAAACACTGACTAATGCCTAGGCTGTGGTCTGAACCCCCAGACTCACCCCTATCCAGCATTGGAAATGAAAACACTGACTAATGCCTAGGTTGTGGTCTGAACATCGTGAGGTAAATTTACGCTCTACAAATTTCGTTTAGACTTCGTCGGCTAATTTTGACTTTAATTTTTAAATTATTATTTTTAACAGACCGGGACAGGAAATCCGTTAAAAATTCATAACTTCTTAATCCGAAGTCCGTTTTCGTCAGACTTTTTACCGTTGTGCTACTATTTACGAGACCTTCGATTCTCGTTTAGGTCATGTAGGCTAAAAATCACTCGATCTAAAATTCGAGTTTTTAGCTGTCTACTGCTAAGCTGAAACTTCGAAAAATCATAACTTCCTCATACGAAGTCAGATTTGGGCGTTCTTTTTATACCTACTCTCGGTTTAACGAACACTATAATTTTCGTTTAGATCACTAAGGCTAAAAAGTAGTTTATCAAAAACTCACTTTTTACGACATTCGGTCATAACTTCTTCGTTATAACTCGGATTTCGGCATTTTTTATATATCCGTAATCCTTGTCACGCCCACTACAAGTTTCTTAATAGATATCGGCTTTATCTAATATTTAATTTTGACGCTCATTTTTATTCTTAATTAATTAAACCCTAATAATTAAGCATAAAACACATAATTCACATAAAATTCACATAATTCCTTTTCATTTCTTCTAAATGAGTTACAAATGTTAACGTAGACCATTATGTCAATATTAATGCCTAGCCTAGAAACACGGGCGTTACAACCTACATATGGTTTTTTGTTGTGATATTACTATAGTTTATTTAAAGCAATCATATTAAAGATGTAAAAAAACAATAGTTTTTTACATCAGTAAAATGGTGAGAATATGTTTTGCTTTTTTAAAATTGGGTCACCAGGAAAAATGATTTTTATAATAAACAAAAAGATATAAAATTGTATTGGTTAAAATCATTACAAAAAATAGTTAAGTGGTTAAATCAATTAATGCAGAAAGTAAGTTGTAAGTGTGTTTTTTTGTAGATTATACAAAGACCAAAGAACAACGTTGTAATAGAAAAAGCTATGAATGGGATGTTATCATGCACCAGTATATCAAAGTAATTTGATATTACTTGCATTTAGGCCTATACAAAACCAACAAATAACACTTGTTCATTTTTTTTAATATCAATTTGTGTAACAAGCACTCCTAGATGCAAGTTTTTCTCTATATTTCATATTGGACCTTATTATTTTTAATGTAGACCGATTCTGTCAAACTCAAGCACTAACAGTTCATTTGCAATAAATTTATTGTTAATGATAGTATTTTGCTTCCTTATTAATTACCAACAATACCCTCTAATAATTTGAAGTTTTTTCTAATTTTCATCGTATTTTGTAAACTAATATTATTAATTTGATAACAAAGTTTTAGAATATATTAAGGCAACATACTTAGGGCGACGAACTCGTGGAAGCCTTAAGAGAGTCAATACTAAGTAAGATGACCTATGTGAATAAGAGGTAATTAACCAGAATTAAAAAAAAATCTTTTTTGAAATTGTTTTGTTGTTTTCCTGCATTGTTTGTTCTTTTCATTACAACATTGTAATAGGAAGAGATGAATGTAATATGCTATAATCTATTTGAAAGTACAATGTTATAATCTATTTTTTATATTAAAGTATTATTCTTTTAACTTTTTTGAAATAGCAACATACATTTAGGATAATAGCTTGGTAATATTGACAAATTTGAAATTATTAGTTTGCAAAAACTAGATATTATCGACAAAATACTATAAATTAGTAAAAAGAATTAAATCGATAATTAATAATGAAACTTATCAAGGTTCAGCTAAAATAACTATTTGCGAATGTATTATTCATTATAAGTTAAATTTTAGAATTGTTTTACTCTATCACGTATCAACCGTGTTGCACACGGGTTATAACCTAGTTTGCTTATAAAATACTAGAAGATGTATGTTTAGAAAATAATAATAAGTTGGTGTTGTTTATCTTTTTTTAGAAAGTTGCTTATAGCAATTTCAATTTATTATTAACAAGTGAGGTTTGATAACATTTTACAACAATTTTTGATGGGGGCATCAATTTAATTTTCGTCGCAAAACCTCCAAAATATAATGTCTTTTGGTACAAATGGATCCGATATTTTACAAATGAGCCTCTTGGAAAACCTTCATAAAAAACCCTTTTGAATCATACAAGTTTTTTATATATTTTGTAAAAAACTCGTTACTTTTAGAAAAATCTTTTGTAATTCCATTTGCAATAATCTACCACTTAGCTTTGAGAAAGAGAACTGTTGGATATAATGTCCTATACGTCCTAACTTCTTTTATGGATATTTCGCATTTAGTGGTCAAAACTTATAGTTCCCAAATCACGGGTGTATTAAAATTTAAACATCCCAATAGTTTTCTTTTATTACGACATGCGAGTTCCCAAGCTGTTTTCAAGATTCGTTGTAAGAATTGATTCAACGTACATATATGTCTAATTGTCTATTGATAGCTTTAAATCTTAAAATTAAAACAATTAAAGGTGAGTTTATCATGGTAAAGTGTAAACTCAATTAACATATCATATGGATGATTTTCATTTTGACAAGGTCATAGAGCAGTTTTATAACCGACATGACCCAACTACCAAACCAGGTAAAGTGGTATACACCACTGTGGATTGTCCGTTACCAACGGGTCCCATGGTTAATTTCTTGAACTTTAAGGATCAAAGTGTAAGTGTGTAAGTAGGTAGCCTACAAATTTGTATTTGAAATCACCTCACTCATTCATACATATCAACAAAACGAGGTAATTAAATCTAGAATGAGACATATATATATATATATATATATATATATATATATATATATATATATATATATATAATATAAAGTAAAGGCAAAGCGAGGGGTGAAATGCTCACACGCCATTTACAAACTACGATTCAAATTCAAGAACTTATGAAGGATATATTACAGGTTGAAATATTCATGTTTGAAAAGTATGTAAAGAGGAGATGAGATTGGTGTTATTTTTTCTTTTTCAACACGTCAGCAAGAGAAGGGAGCTTGATCTGACCATTTCTAGTGACTGGTATGCTGATATCGCAAATGAGTGGGAAATCAATAATGAGTGTGACTTTAAGGTCGTAGTCAATGTCCCAATCAACAGCGATATCCTTCACCAAGGTTACCAACACACTGTTTGCCACATCAATCTCAACATATAGTAAGGTGTCACCTTTCCCCTTCAGTGAACCTGTGTCATAGATTGTGCCACTTGCAATCTCTCTAGTTTAAGGTCAATCAATCCAAAGTTAATTAGATATATATGAAATACAAAACATGAGTATATATAGCACACGTACGTATACCAATACACTCAAACGTATAATATAAAACAATAATTTGATATTGTTTTTTTTTGTTGGACATATAATATAAAGTTGTTTGTTTTTTCCCCAAAAGAATAAGATGAACTTTTAAAATTTAAGATAATATTAAGAAAGTTTGTTTTATTGGATTTAAAACGTGAACCTCATCAAAATCGTTAACCATATCATGGAATAAAAGAAATTGTAAACTCAAATGAGTCGATAAACAAGTTATAATGAAATCTCCAAATACGTTTATATATCAACAAATTAGATAAACTCGATCGTAAACCAAAAACAAATTAAGTTACTATATAATTTAAAATAATAATTATTAATTCAGAAGACAAGATAAAATATAATTATATCATAATCGAATGGAATCTTTAAATAGTAACTGAACGTGCAGAAACCCTCGAGTGTGTATATACTATATAGAAGAAGATCCTTAACGAATTACATAATTAAATGATAGGAAACGAATTGAACTTGACCTGCCGGAACTTTTGAGAAGGTAACGGATCTCGCCGAGTGGAATCGGTATACAGTAAGGATTTGAAACGTTGACCTTAGCCAGATAAGTGACAGAGTGAGCGCCGACGCCTTTCGGATCGACATCCGTCACCCTCGCCTCCGGCTTCTCTATGCTCTCCACTGTATCGGAAAATAAATGTTTCACCATCTCCACCACACCACACATATCTCTGGCGAAGATAGTCAACCGCACTTTCTAAAAGTAAAACAATCGGATTAAGGTTTCGCACTAAGAACTTGCTTTTGCTCCAAATTTATACATTTTTCTTGGTGGTGGTGGTGATGAGTGGAGTGGGGGGTAAAGGATCCATGGCCCATGGGTCTTGCCTCAATGAGTGAGCCACACGTGATACTCGTTTTCATAATTATACTCCGCTAGGCGAATCCCCGCGCGTTGCGCGATAATAGAATTATATAGTTAAAATACTAATTTTTACTAAATTATTATTTAATATTTCTACTTTGAAACAAAATGTTAGTAGTAAAACAAACATATAATTAACATATTAGTTTTATTAAACATTATAGTTTAATTTTTAAGTCATTGTGATATATACAATTATTTGATAATTTTATAAACCGTTTAAAATTGTGTAAATTATATATCAAATGAATGATAATATAACGGGTAACAAAACGTATGAACAAAAATATGAACTACAACTTTTAGTAACATAAAAATAGAAAAACATATATTATAACATTTGTATTAAAAAAGATATATGTACAACGAATAATAATAAAAAATATGAAAAATAAATACTAACTTTTAATAACATAAAAACAGTAAAACATCTATTATAACATTTATATTAATTCTTCATATTAAATCACAAATTTCTTCAAATACATTAATGTTTTTAATGAGCAAAACTTTACAACCTTATAAAATAAAGGAAAATAAAAAGTTATTAATAATTACTAATTAATAATCATAAGTTAAAAACTCTTGAGTTGTAACTAATAAATATACATAAATTAGAAAAGTATTGAGTTGTAGTGTGAGTTTCAAATGAATACGGTACTTGGAAATGTATATTTATTATTATTATTATTATTATTATTATTATTATTATTATTATTATTATATTCGTCTAAATAATTGGTTTTGATGCATCATTTTAATCCCTTCAATTATTAAACATAAAGATATTTAATTATAAATTTATAACATACATAGATGCATATACATGTTAAACAAATCACATATAATATATATATTTTTTCGTAAATGTCATATGTAATTCTTGTCGTAGTAATATGGATAAATTACTTTCATATGAAGAACATATCATGATAAGTTTATCATAATTACATATCAAATGTTCAAAATTATGTTATCTTTTAAATATTGTCTTTTAAATATGTTGTGTAGGATAACCCAACAAAAAAATAATAGAAAATAAACATAATCAAAATAGAAAAACTACAATCAAATAAATAAGAGCATTGGGTGGTTAAATATATAAATAAAGATGTTACATAACCATACATTTAAATCAAAAGAAAAAACTAACATTCGTCAACTTTGCTCAAACAAAAAAATTTATATCCATTTTATGAATCTTCTTTCTTCATTTAACACCATTCAACCAAAGAAACTTGATGACAATTCTTCACTAACCTGCAATCAAAATATTTTTCTTGAAAAAGAAGAATCAGAAAGATATTCCAAGCAAAACATTGATGTTTGAAGAGTCACATTCAAGATTGAGTAATACACACAAATCACATATAAAGATTAAATGAGAAACTGAATATAAAGAAATAATAGAAAAGCTTCATTTGTTTTGGTTGAAAGAAAAAATCATATTACAATTATCATCGATGCGACATAACCCATTTCTTCAAATCATCATATTTGGATCGTGAATGCTTCAACTATATGAAAACTTTTGAATCACAATATCTTCAAATCCTTCTTAGATGTAAGATTTTATATAACACAAAAGACACAAAAGATTGGCATTTTTTATAGTAAACTTTTCACTAAATGCTAATTAAACATAATATAAGTTATAAAACTTTTGAGTGTTAAATCATAATTAATAAAACTTTTGAGTTGCATTAGTTAAAAAAGGGGGTTTCAAATGAATGTGGTTTGAGGAAGTTAAAAAATGGGGTTTCAAATGCATGAGATTCAAGAAAAAATGTTAGCTTTATAAGTATGTATGATAAGATCAAAATAAACTTTCTTTTGAGGTATGGTGTAATACAAATTTTAAGTACAATTTTTTGGGAATACTTGCTCAGCCAGAAAATAATATGTTGTTAAAACAAAACAAAATACAAGTTACAACATACCTTTGGTTTTATAAAAGATACAAAATAGTTACCTAACTAGTTATCTAACTATATCCTCATTCACATGTGGAAATATTGATAGTTTAAGAAGATAAACAATACAAAACTTGATTCAAACAACCGGTTAGTTTGTCTTTTCGAACATCTTTCAGATTTCTAAAAAAATGTCAATTTACTTGTTCATAATACATGATTGTTTTCTCTTGACTTTCTAGAAAAATACAAATAGTAACTCAATAATACATGATTGTTTTCTCTTGACTTTCTACTAGAAATAGTTAATTACCCACACTACTTGTACTCCCTTGAATAGGGATTCACAAGATGAATGTTTGCTAAAGTTGTGGGAAATGCTCGAGAATGCCTATATTTCAATGAGACAAATAAGAAAAATGACAACCCCAAAATAATATAATGGATTCACAACAATTTAAGAATCAAGAACAAGGGGATGAACAAATGGTGGAATTCCACATAGAGTTCAAATATTGCAAAATATCGTTAGTGTTCCGCAATTAACCTCTTCCGTAACCTTTGGAGTGGGTTGCGGTTTACCATTTTACCTACATAACTTAACAACTAAAACCAACTTTACCAATTAACCGGTCTAACTTTTGATTACTTAAACTTTGAGGATGAAAGTATAGCCAACCTAAAATTTGTAATTAAATTCATCACCTCAGTACATATCAACAAAACGAGGTAATTAAATCTAGTATGAGACGGATACATTAAAGGCAAAACGAGGGTGGAAATACAAATTTTGAAACAAATTAAATACATGTTTGATAATGAATACAAGTTTGCATATAACACCATTTACAAATTATCATTCATTCGAGAACTCATAAAGGATTACAAATTAAAACATAATTGAAAAGCATGTGATCACGAGATTGGTGTTATTTTTTTTTTTCACACATTTAATTAGGAAACAAGTCGACGACCGAAGGAAGCTTGATCTCACCATTGCTAGTTATAGGTATATTGATATCGCAAATGAAATCTATAACCAGCGTGGCATCAAGCTCGTAGTCAATGTCCCAATCATCAGTGATATCTTGGACCAAGGTTACCAACGCACCGTGTGGCAAATTAATCTCCGCATATAATATGGTGTCACCTTTCCCTTTGAGTGATCCTATGTCTGGGATTGTCCCGTTCGCTATCAAGCTAGTTTGAAATTAATCAATCCAAAGACACAAAACATCATGATGAGTATAGCACATGTATAAAGCAAAGTGGATAAGTTAGAGCAAAAGTTTATTTTAATAATTTGGATTTAAAACGTGAATCTCATCAAAATCAAATACTAGGTATAACATATTATTTATTTATTTATTTATTGGAAACACGGCCTTCAAAGTTACTTTATAATCGAAAAGAAAATTTTGTAAACTCGACAAGTTAGTGAAAAAAAATCATAAAAATTTGAAATTTTTTTTCATTTTTTTTATAAAAAAACACAGAAAAAAGATTTTGAAAAAATCATAAAAATTAAGAGATACTTCTATTCAATATACTATTGACTTTGTAAAAATATTTTTTTTAAAATAAGTTTTTGAAGAATTTATTTTTAATTTTAAGAAATATTAATTTTAAAAAAATTTATTGAACATAATATGATCCAAAATATGATAATTCAAAATACTTATGATTAAAAAAACTTTTTATTCAACTTGTTTATTATCCTTAATTTGTTATGATCTAAAAATATTTAGACTCAAATATTTTATAATCCTTAATTATATCTTTTATGATTCAAAATTAAATAATTCAAAATATATAATGATTCATAATTTTTTTTTGAACAAAAACTATATTTAATTGAATATATTATTGATCCAAAATCATATGATTCAAAAATGATTTGATTCATATGATTCAAAATAATTTGATTCAAAATTTTTTGATAAAAAATAATATGATTAAAAAAAATATGAACGGAAATATTATGATCCTTAGTATTTTTCTTATTTAAAATTTTATAATTGTGAAACATTAAAAACTCAAACTGGTATTTAGTTTAAATAATAAAAAAAAATCAAAAAGAAAAAATGAAAACACTAGTATCTTCATGTATGTAGTAAATATATTAAATAAAATGAAAAATAAAAACGAAAAAAAAAGAATAAAAAAATATTAAAAAAAACGAAAAAAATTAAAAACGTTAAAACCAAGCATATAGTTGTTTATTTAAAGAAAATAAATTATAACGAAAAAAATAAACGAAAATAAATAATAAAAGCTACTTAAATGACGTTCCATGGTTCACCGTACGTGATTAAGTCCTCGAATCTATATTAATTATCACGGACATGGGTTGCATGCGAACGCACCACGTCCAAATATTGGGTTTAACGTTTGTGCTTTTAACGAAATGGGTGATGTAGAATTGTCATCGCAGTCCTCACCATTTTTTAAGTATATATATATATATATATATATATATATATATATATATATATATATATATATATATATATATATATATATATATATATATAAAATTCAGTTTTTTAGTAAAATTTAGATTTGATAGTTAAGGACTTCCATATTCCATGCATGTGTGGAAATGTATGTGGGAGTAAGAGATAAACCAGAGGAAATCAACAACATAACATGATAACGAGGAAACGAACCTGCCGCAACTTTTGAGAGCGTACTGGATCTCGCTGAGTGGAATAGGTATACAGTAAGGATTTGAAATATTGAGCTTAACCAGATAAGTGTAAACCCCATCTTCCTCACCTTTCAGATCGACATCCACCACTCTCACCTTCGGCTTCTCTATGCTCGCCAACGTATTTGAAAAGAAATGCTTTATAATGTCCACTACACCGCACATATCTCCGCCGATGATCAATTAACCACAATATATTTCTAAAAGTGTAAAACAATTGGATTGTTTCGCACTAATTAAGAAGTTGCTTTTGCTCCTAGTTAGTGGAGATACCATGCCCCATTTATACATAAAAATGATGGTGGTATTATAAATTATAAATTACATGGATCTTGCCGCAAAGAGTGAGTCACACGTGATATTCGTTTTCATAATTTTTCTCCATGGATCAAAATACAAAGTATATATATATAATAAGTTCAGTTTTGGGGAATATTTGCTCAGTTAGAAAAACAAAATGTTATATGAAAAATTGAAAATAAAATACTAAGTTGCAGCATTACAAACTAAGATTGAATCAACCACACATTAATTATGTGTGTGAGAGTTGTATTTATATAAATAATACAAACGAATCTCCTATGATAAAGGAGTAACAAATACAAGATAAATACAACATAAACATTTTGAATATAATTAAGACTAATTATCTAATATCCCCTCAAGCGAATGGGTGGTGGATCAAGACGAAGCATAGCCCGAAATTGTTCAAATTGAGGGCGTGGAAGACTCTTGGTGAAAATATCCGCCACTTGAAGCTTGGTAGAGACGAACTTAGTATAGAGCTTTCCTGAAAGAACTAGCTCTCTAACAAAATGATAATCCAGATCAATATGTTTAGCTTGTTTGTGAGAAATTGGATTTTGAGTCATAAAAAGAGCACTCTTATTATCACATAGCAACGTGGGTCGATCAGGAGGCAACGAATGATGCTCTTGTAGAAGGTGAGTGATCCAAACAATCTCAACTGCAGCATTAGCCATGGCACGATACCCGGACTCGCAGCTAGAACGGGAAATGGTAGGTTGCTTCTTGGCACTCCAGGACACTAATGTGTTGTTTGTTTTTCCGAAGCAAAAATTCAAAAAGTCTGCGGACCACCTCTGCAAACCTCTGCAGTAGAAGAGGTGTACCAAACGGCTGCAGGCTGTAATAAGAAGCGTGTTTGTTTTTGTTAACATCTGCAGATTGTTGCAGACATTAAAAATTTAAAATAAACTAATTTAAAAAACAACATTAAAATGAATTAACTTATGTAAATCAAATGGGAGAAAACAGTTAAAGGGATATAAGTTTAATGTATTAAATGTTAAAGGGATGAAAATAGAATATAATATATAAGTAAAGGACCATAAACGTAATATTAAATATACTTCATGGACACTTATTTAAAAACCAATACACGTCGTTGTAAGATTTTTGGAAAAAAAAGTGTAAGATTTTTGGAAGAAAAAAAAGGGTCGATTGTTTTTTGGGATTGGATTTTTTTAGGTTTAAGTTTGAAGGGGTGGGAAGAGGTACAACAAGTGCTTCCCCAAGAAGCACACGAGCAGAGGTTTTAAGCCCCGAAGACTTCCGAAAAACAAACTGCTGCGGGACAAAAAGTGTTGCGCGTGTGCTGCGCCACGCAGCAATAAGAGTTTTGAAGAGGTTTTTTTTAAGAAAAACAAACAGCACCTAAGTTAGCGCCTAGAAAAATAGAATATCCATAAGTTGATCTGCGGGTTTCAATACAACGAGCCCAATCTGCATCATAATAACCAAGAATGGTAGTAGTTTGAGGTCGATGTTAGATTAGTCCAAAGGAAAGAGTCCCCTTAACATATCGCAATATCCGTTTTACCGATTGAAAATGCAAGGTGGTAGGTGCATGAAGATACTGACTAGCTTTGTTAACAGCATAAGAGAGATCCGATCATGTAATAGTTAAATATTGAAGAGCACCAACCAAGGAACGATAGAGCGTGGGATCAACAAAAGGTGGTCCATCATAGGTAAAGGTTTCATGAGTGACCAAGGGAGTAGGAAACGGTTTTGAGTCAATTAAATATGCTCGTGTAAGAATATCGGTTGCATACTTTGACTGACTCAAGAATAGACCATCAGTGGTATAGGAAACTTCCAACCAAGAAAGTAGTTTAAGTCACCCAAGTATTTTATAGCAAATTTGCTATTTAGTTTTTCTAGTAAAAGATGTGATAAGAGATTCGCGATTACCAGTGAGAATCAAATCGTCAACATATACCAATAAGTACATAATATTGGAATCTTGAGCAAAAACAAATAAAGAGGTATCTGACCGGCTGCAACGAAACCCATTGGCAAGAAGAAAAATGTTGAGGTGATGAAACCAAACTCTATGAGCTTGTTTAAGCCCATACAAAGCTTTAGAAAGTTTGCAAACGTGATTAGGGAAATTCGGATCAACAAATCTTGAAGGTTGTTCCATAAAAACATTTTCGTTGAGCGCGCCATGAAGAAAAGCGTTTTTAACATCAAGTTGACGTAAACGCCAATTATGTAAGACTGCGAGAGAAAGAACGATACGAACCGTTAAGGCCTTAACAACACGACTAAAAGTATGAGAATAATCAAGACCTGGAATTTGTGTGTAGCCTTGAGCAACTAAGCGTGCTTTAAATCGTTCTATTGACCCATCATAATTAAATTTCGTCCGATAAACCCATTTTGAGCCAACAACATTTGAGGAAGATGGACGGGGAACAAGGGTCCAGGTGTTGTTGTGTCGTAATGCCTCAATTTCCTCTTGCATTGCAAGCATCCATTGTGGGCTTTTAGTAGCAACTTTAAAACCCTTAGGTTCAGTGGACGAAAAAAGTGAGACATGTAAGGCATGAGATGTGAGAGATGCAAGATCAACAAAGTGCTTTTTCTTGAATATTCCTAATTTTGAACTGGTCACCATGGGGTGAGATGAACTGGGTTCAACTAAGGGAGGATCAATAACCGTCGATTGAGAAGGTGTAGGATATGCCGATGCATGTGATACCGGGTCAGGAGATGATGGTTCGGATTGTACCGGGTTAGCAGGAACAGCAACAGAAGTCGGAGATGATGGTTCAAATGATACTAGGTGTGACAACCCGAAATTTCTATCTTGTACACTTATTCAAATCAATCAAGTTCAGACTCGTTTTTACTATCTTCTAGCATTGTTTAGAGTCAATTTGAGTGTTCTAAGCCTAGTATAACCAAGGTATGAGGCTAGGGATGAGTGTATTTGAGTTCAACACCTTTCGATTGAGCCAAACACCTCTTCATGAGGTGTGTGCGGCCGCACACATGGGTGTACGGCCGTACACCCATCCCAACCGTACACTCTCATGTATAAATGAGAGTCTTAGCCTTCATTTACCTCTTTTCACACTCCTAAGCCAAGAAATCAACTTCTCTCTCAAGTATCATCCGATTTTTCTTCTAGATCTTCAAGTTGTAAGTGTTTCTTCCTTTGATTTGATGATTCATTACACTATCTAGTAAGGATCTATCATTTCATCCATGAAATTACTCCTTTTGTTTAGATCTTCAAGTGTTCTCCAAGAACACCAAGAACACCAAGAATACATACTAAGTTTTTGGACCTCAAACACCCCTAAAGGCTTCTATATTGTAAGTATCACTCCTTATGCTTGTTACTTACTAGTTATACTCCTTAGAAAACGTCCAAGCCATGATCAACAAGGAGTGTACGGCCGTACACACCCCCATGTGGCCGTACACCCCTTTATTTAGTGCATAATGGCCTCAAAACTCATGTTCTATGCTAGCACTTGATCAAGAACACTTATGGGATGCAAGTTAGAGACTTGGAATACACTTTTGAACATATTTACATGATCATCAAGGGTGTACGGCCGTACACTCCCTGTGAGGCCGTACACACCCCTTTTAAGGTCAAAAATGGCATTAAACTTCCATTAAGGCTAAGCATTGGTCAAGACACACTTCCTAGATGCTTAATAAGACTTTAAATCACTCATTGGCATGTTTCACCATGAGTGTACGGCCGCACACCCACTTGGGCCGTACACTCCGGCCGTACACACCCATGAAACACACCATTCTAGCCGTACACAACAAGGTGTGGCCATACACCCATTATATGCAACCCTTGGTACTTCTAGCACTTGAATCTAAGTGTTTCCTATGTCCTAGGGTGTCTTTCCTTGCATAATTAGTCGTTTAAACACTAATCATATACATATATGTGTCGTTATATGCTTATTAGGATCTGTTGTGCTCAAGTCTTCACTTGACACTTAGCATCCTACAAACCGAACTTTCATTCGTATTACTCACTACATGTGAGTTCATACCCCTTAACTTATCTTTTAAATGATTTTAAATGCTTTTATGGGGGGGGGGAGGGAATACAAGTTGAAACATCATAGTTATTATATCAATCACATGTGATTAATAACTATCAAACAGACAGATTTCTTACATTTCAAACTGTGTTATCAAACAAACTACTACAACTCGTTTTATAAACTCTTTTACATATTAAATTCTTTACTTAAACTCTTTCAAACTTATACTTTGTCAAATCATGTCTATATAGATATAGTTATATAAATAGGATTGAAAAGACTTAGGACTGATAACTCGCCTTATTTCCTGTTCCTTGTTTGGTTGTGGACTTAGGGTATCGGTTGTTTGTCCGAAGGTCGTGTGAATCTTAGTTACATATTATATGTATGTATATAGATATTAAAGTTCTTCATTTAGTTCAACACCTTTGGGTAGCAAAGGTGTGCAAACATGTTCACTCATACAAACAACATTACTAGTAAACTATAATAGATATAGTTTAGGAAGTCACTACTTACTATTACTAGAACAATGAAACATACAAGAGTCAGTTCATTCATGAGTCAATACAAACATACTATTATGAGAAACAGAAAGAACCATACTATGATGAGAAACTAAGAGAACATACAATACACTACACTATACAAGAGAACATACTATGATGAGAAACAAAGAGAACATACACTACACTAGTACAGAGAGAACATACAATACACTAGAACATACTATACAAACACTGGAACACTATAACATTAATGTGAGCCACTACTTCATGGCATGGAAATCTACTGCTGTGTCACGTTTTGCAACCAGAGTCTCCTGGAGGGAGAGCGTGAATTGGTGTATAGATCTATACGGGATTGACTATCCTACACCTTACTGCTAGCTACAGTGGGACCTGCAGGTCTACGGGTGACTAATGTCATACCATTTCGATGCCTTAGAGCGTCGTGTTATACTAGTCGATCAAGTATGGTTACAATCATATCACATTTTACCTTAATTAACAAACTGGTTTAAGGTAGTTAGTACATTGG